AAATTTTAACTCACCAAATTTGAACGCGGACATCTCCCGTGTGTGCGTGCGCACGAGCGTGGGTGTGTAAATCTTTTAGTGCACTGGACTGCTGGAGAAAGCATTTACTTATTGTGGCCGCGCTAGTGCCCTAACTATAACTTCATTGGGGGTTTAATGGGGTTATCTGGGATTAGTCAAATTAAATCGGCATCCAAGAGGTGAATTTTGAAGTCGAAGGGGTGGTCAAACCAAGTAACAGACGGGAAAGTGAGTGGGCTGGACAGATAGTTGCAATAGTTGCACAATCAACCCCAGCGTTGTTTGGCTGTTTTTGATTTCACTTGGCAAGTTTACCTTCAGTAGTTTGCCATTTAAACGGTCGGCTCTGGATACCATTGTCGAAAAAATGCAAAGCGGTCTGCTGCCGAATCACCGGCTGTTGGAATCCACCCCGGCACCTTATGAAATACAAAACGTGTTCGCACGGCCCAACGCCTTCTCGAATAGAGTAGGCCGTGGCAACGCTTAAGCCACAGACGCTGACTAGACAGCGATATAATAAAGCCAATTACCGTTCTTCTCGAAAAGGCATACCTGCCAAGCATCCACGTGGTATCGATGAGATTTTATATTTTCTAAGTTGGTCGCTTTGTCTGCATTACAGACCGCCTGTTTTTTTTTTTTTTTTTTTTTAAGAGAATGTTTTATGGAAAGCTAAAATATAGTGGCGTATCATTTACAGAATTACCACCTGCGAGATGAGGTGCCTGAGAAAAGCAGCCAACCTAACCATACGTGATCGAGTGAATAATGAAACTATCAGGCAAATTGTGGGAACGACACCTTGTACTAGATTCATCGAGAAACAGCAGATCAAGTGGTTTGGCCATCTCGTTAGAATGCAGCAAGATCAAATACCACCACAAGCACTACATCTCAGAAGATCAACTACAAGAGCAAGAGGAGGGCCGCGAAAAACATGGATCGACAACATTAAAGACACTCTACGCCTTCACGGCATGACAATAGCCAGTGGCAGCCAACGTGCACTGGATCGCAAATTATTCCTCCCCACGCCGCTTAACGGCAGAAGTGGTTTATGATGATGATGATGATGATGTTCATTTCATTTACAGGACGTTGCAGAACCAATCCCAGCTTTAAAAGCATTTTTTGGGGTTTGATTTAACTAGTGAAAGAGCAAAGTGGTTTGCTGCAAAATCGTCAGCAGCTGTGATCGAACCGGGTATATTGGGATTACAATCCACATTTGCAACGCCTAGGTCACAAAGGCCGACTATTGCATGGTAAAATATCCTAGAGGCCTAGGTATTAACGTTATGTCACAAGGCACCTCTAAAGCTAATCATAAGTCCGTCGGCATCAACACCCGAACAAAGGAAACTGTCCGTGATCGATCCACGTGAAAAACACTTCTTGATTTGTAAGTAACAAACCAATGAAGTAACAAATAGGGAATTGGAAAATCAGCTGAGAAAAGCTATAATGCGGCTAATCATCCCTCTGGCGGGTGCGTTATATGCTTTCCCCACTGCTCAAGAACTGACATCGCCCCTAGCCACCACCTTCGTATCTCACTGGAAGATGAGTGATATTCTTCTCTTACGACGGAGAAACACGTTTTGTGCAAGTCAAATTCCTAGACCATGAAGACGAGAGGATTTGATAGTTACGAATCGTATTACAAAACTCGCGGCTTTTCTAAAGACACACATACTACCAGCAATACAGAGTTCCAGAACTTTTGTTGACAGGTGCAGTCTAATTATACAGTTTGAGAAAAAAAAAAAAAAGCGGATAGTTACCCGAGGGCACTTTGCTTCTTGAAAGAGAAAAGAAAACAAACCAAAAGCTACTTTAAAAAACAAACATTTTTTTTTTTCATGTTGAATTGAGAATCGACAAAACAGCACTCGGACACCTTCATAAGCGCTCCGCCCCATTCTTCAACAGCAAGCGAAGAGTTCCAATTCCGATGCCATCAGTAACTGCCTGATTGTATATCCGTCTCGCCTTTCCCCTGAGTGTTGAGCGCCAGCCAAATTCCTTTGTAACTTTCCGCAGCGCCATTCTCCCCAGACCGTAAGGATCAATCTGTGCCTCCGCACTGTTCAGTCGCTCCAAAATGGCCCTCACAATATCCAGCTTGTCATACATTAGTTCACCCTAAAGCAGTGCAAAAGCCGTCAGTCTTCTGTTCTTTTCCCAAACACGTGAAGACAATATCATAAGGATGCTAACTACCCGGGACTTTTTAAGTGATATATTTTTTTTCCACACTTTTGACACTGAAAATCTTTGTAATTTAATGAGTACAATTATTTAAATTGCACACAAGAATACCTTAGAGTTCAATCAATTAATTGACAAGTTCTTTTGCATTTTGTTTACCGACTGTTTTTAGGCGTATGGGCTTTACCGTCTACTAATCAAAACGTGTCATCGGATAACTATGCTTTTCTTTCTTTCTTGCTTTCTTTCTTTCTTTCTTTCTTTCTTTCTTTCTTTCTTTCTTTCTTTCTTTCTTTCTTTCTTTCTTTCTTTCTTTCTTTCTTTCTTTCTTTCTTTCTTTCTTTCTTTCTTTCTTTCTTTCTTTCTTTCTTTCTTTCCCCCAACAGGAAAGCGCCATTAGATAATTATGCGTTCCTTTTGAAAGCAGTCATTACTCCCCTTTGCACCATGCAACATTGATACATATTTGTTTTGACACCCCCTCCCCTCTTTTCCCAGCACCGTCTCCCCAACATCCAGTACATTTCCCCGCTTTTGCAATGAGCCCTCATGCACTTCGTCTGCCTCTCAACACAGAGCCATCTGTATAGATAATACGGAAACCATAACAATGTATTCTAATGTCAGATTTCTGCCCGCCAACGCCAAATGACAACGCCCATGTGCTGGAGAAGCAACCATAATTATCTACATACAAATAACACAAATTAATGTCAGCCATGGGCGTACCACAGCTTTCGCCGATAGCCCAATAATTACTGCACAGTATTTATAAATTCACATTTGACGCCAAAGATCAGCCTGCCTTAAATTAAAAAGATCGTATAAATGTAACGATCAGTAGTAGCTGCATTCACTAAAACAATATCCTGTTCAACATCTAGTGTTATAATTTGGATATATAGTGTTAATTGTATATTTTTCCTTCTCCTTTTTATCTGAGCTATCCCTATGTTACCCGAGCACTTATTGACTAAATGGTTTGATGTCCAATTAGGATAATCTGTCGACTAACTTTCAATGCGTATGTTTATAAATATACATCCTGGACATATGCTCCAGAAGAAAATTCAGGAGAAATTCAGTGTCAAAGAAAGATGCTGGTACTCACCACAAAGTGTCTGTTTTAGTATAGGTGAACAAAGTTAGTTGCAGAACCAACCCCAGATTTATTTTGGCTCTTTGTGATTACACTAGGTAGGTTGATGGTCAGAAGTTAGCAATGGTCTGAAATTTACTGAATGGCCGGCTGTCGATACCACTATCGAAATCAACGCTAGGCGATCTGCTACCAAATTACCCGCAGCTGGGATCGAACCCTGCACGTTCACAACACCTGAGCCATAGACACCCACCTCTGAACAAAGGATGCCGATACAAAAAGTGCTGCTAATGTGTAGACTTGCGTACTGCAAGGAAAAAAGACTATGGGTATCAGGTGAGCCGCCTCACAGAAAACATTGGAAGGGAAGCCCCCCTCCCCCCTCCCTGTAATTTTCTGAAGCTAAATAGTATGGAGTAACAATAGTATAGTATTTCTCCCCATAATCATTAACATTATTATTGCGCAGATAAACACGGCTAAAGTCCGGTGAAACCCATCTCTCCACCTCTAGTAAATTATTGGTGGTGGAGAGGGGGTGTTGTTTCAATAAGCAACAATACAATAATAATAATTAATATTATGTGCCGAACTTGCAAATACAAAACAATATATCTGGAATAATTTAAATATAAAATATACAGACATATTCTTGAAAACGGAATGTTTTTTTAATAGCGCTGGCTTAGAAAAGAAAAAAGGGGGAACGTTGGGTGGGGGGGGGGGGGAGGGCCTCAGAGACCCCTCTGTACATTTTGAGGGTGGGGTCTCAAAGCGCTCAAGCCTCTAGGTTCGGGCGGCTTTGCTTACGTCTGTCTGTCTGTCTGTATGTGTGTATGTATGTGTGTATGTATGTATGTATGTATGTATGTATGTATGTATGTATGTATGTATGTATGTATGTATGTATGTATGTATGTATGTATGTATGTATGTATGTATGTATGTATGTATGTATGTGTGTATGTGTGTGTGTGTGTATGTATGTATGTATGTATGTATGTATGTATGTATGTATGTATGTATGTATGTATGTATGTATGTATGTATGTATGTATGTATGTATGTATGTATGTATGTATGTATGTATGTATGTATGTATGTATGTGTGTGTGTGTGTAAGTATGTATGTGTGTGTGTGCGTGCGTGCGTGTGTGTGTGTGTATGTATGTGTGAATACATCTTGCATAATCATTTATGCAGATTGCATCGTAACCGCCAAACAGTCTGATATAACTGTGAAATACGGTTGAACGGCGTTTCTGATATTTATCACTGTTGGATTCTCACCAAGATAATGGCTCTTTGAGTCACTGGGTGTTAATCTTTCAGAATAGGCCTACAATCCTGTAGTGAACGGAAACAATGAAAGTATATTTAGTGATTGATGTAATTTATAGTTTTTTGACATATTCATACTATCTGGCCATTAATAGGACGGAATATTGATAATAATTATTTATATATATTTCGATATTTTATGCTACAAAAGAGTGTATTTATGATTATTGAATTCATGTGAAATGATCGATCAATATCGCAGGTGAGTGACAGGTGAATCAAGCACGGTAACCCGCCATTCTCCAAGTTGTCTGGTCCGCCTATGCCATTCACTCTCAGTCTCGTCGTCTACGAGATCGGCCAGTCTGAGCCACTCTGAGCCATGGCGACTTCTGCTACCTTTCGAAGGCTTCTCAGCAGAAGCTTGCTTTCACAGCAGTCAAGGTGTATATTTTTATGTTTGGACAGCCTTAGCCTGCAGAATTACAAGGTAATTGTGTTATAAATGTGATAGTAGAGTGTGTTTGTTAACAGATAGACCTGCACGAAATAACCGACAGGTCAAGTTTACTGCACCCAAGTTCTCTAAGTTAGGCAGTTATGTCCAGGTCGTTCGTTCCACTTCGCTACCTAGTAACCTACAGATACAGAAAGCTTAACTTGGAATGAGTAGATATGGTGTTCATTGAAATATATTATGTTGTTCATTTATATACGCTATGTTATTCGTTGAAATATGTTTATTGTTTCAGTTTTATAACTAGGTGTTCTGGTATTCCTTGTTTCGTCGTCATTCTGTTCATTGATATAAAAATATAACAATATAAGACTTAAGTTAAGGTTCGTTAAATATTGAAATATTCTTTCTGTTTTCTATACTCTTCCCTTTCGGGAATCCAGAGATACGATAAATTCATTTTGTGTTAATTTGTTTTTCCTGTATTAGCTTGACAAAAGTCGCCTCGATGTTTGAGACAAATATATTTTGTGGATCGTTGTTAAACTGGCTGACTCTAAGCATTTGTTAATAAGAGTTCAAGAATCAAGCATTATTTAATTATTACTTGAGTTTTATTTGAGCATTTTAATTTTCTTGTTTTATTAAGAGAATATCCCGAAAGCACACAATTCTATAATTTAGAATGTGTATTTACACTGTTTATGAAACAATACATAATGGCTTTACAACTTAAATTTTTAGACATTTCTTTTGATACCCATGATAAAACAAAGAATCAAAACATTTTCCAAGATTTGAACATAAAAGAAAACTGGCTCATAAACATCATTTATAATTTGTAGGAACTGGAAACATAGAAACACATTGGCTGTTATGAAGACATGGTCTCTGGAAGATAATGCAGGATTGAATCAGCAGAAAGCTGGACACTGGACATTAGTTTTTTCAGTACCAAACAACTTGCCATATATTTCTTTGTCATTTCAAAAATAGTGTGGTGTTCTTGCTATCTTCTGACCACACATGTACAAAGTGCCAACTGGTCTATACAGTATAGGTCTAGCCCAATATGCCCATTACATTTAATGAGGGGGAACAGGATCTGTTATTTTACTTCCTGTCGATAAATGGTATATTAATCTGTTGTTTCTGAATTAGCTAATACAATTAGATCTCTATATACAACAATAAGAAAGAGACAAACACTGTTTTCTGGACACATAATTAGAACAGAGACATTGGAGAACATCGTGACAACTGGAAAGATCAGTGGAAAAAGGGGTAGAGGCAGACCAAAAGGGGTGATGCTGAATGGGCTGAAACAATGGCATGGAGGGATATCATCAAGAGAACTGTTCCAGGCAACCAGTTGGCAGGGCACATGATGATGATGAGGTTTCTAAATTATTAGTTTAACTGCTTCTGGCATATTGTATTTCTTTTGAACTCCTTCAGACTGACTATTTTTTTTTTAGCTCAACTTTTTGTAACAGAAGGGGACAAAGTAACAAGTGCTTGGGACTGCTAGAGTTAAAGTACACTGAGCATGAAAAAGTATACAGATTAAGATTCTTTAGGAAGGCCATGATGAGAGCAGTATTCTACAGGGATTACTGGATACTTGTTATCTGTTATCAGCATTCCAAGCACATTCTCGCTCCATCCTTTGATGCAGCAGCCATCTTAGTGTCTTCATGTTCATTTTATCCAGCAACAGTTGATTGACATTTCTTCTTTCTTTGCCCCGCATGCTTGTCCTCATTGAATACCCATTTCCAACAGGCGGTTCATCGTCGTTAACTCCTTTGTCTCAGTGTCTTTGGAACAAAGTGCATTCACTATGTCAGCCCTGTCCATACTTCTGTCTCCACCAACCACTGCAGACATGGCCATCTGTTCGCTCTTCGATTTCCTTTCACCCTGGCATATCCTGGTGTGTACAGCTGTCCTCCAGGCAACTTCTATATGAACATTTACTTTAAGCCATCCACCATTTGAATGTTTTGCTGTACTTGCAGTTATACCTGTTAAGTTGTGCCATGTAATCTTGTCTGTTATAGGCTGTTCTAAAAGTCATGCCCAGCTTTAAAAATCTGTAACTCTGTAACTGTTCTGTGTAAATTGTTGAAATTTTGCATACAGCTAATTAATAATCTTGTCCTCGTAGGAAAAATAATTAAAATGTAAACAAGCATCTACTTTTTATTTTGCTATATTTGGTACATGAAAAAACATACATGATTCAGAGTGGTTTTACTAGGCAATGTTTACATTCAGTAGTTTGCTATTTGCCTACTGAAAGGTCGGCTCTTTATACAGTTATCAAAATCTGCGTGAAATTTGCAAAGCCGTATCTACATGCAACATATTGTTTTTGAAATGTAAAAAAAGTAAAGAGCCCTTTTCATTCTGTAGGTCCTGTGCATTGAGCATATGGTGCCTAATGCATATTTATATTTAGACTAGTCAACACTGGATAGATGATGTGCTGAAGATTACACTAGCTACCTTTGTTTCCCAGGATATTTTATAGTACCAGTTTTATGCTGTCACCACTGATCACTGGCATCATGAGAGCTAATAGACTGAAATGGTTGGAGCATATTGAAAGAATGTTAGATGACAGAGAAGTAAAAACTATACACAAAGGGAGATGAATGGTCATAGACCACAAGGCAGAGAGATAATTTCCAGACAGACATGCAAACAACTGGTGTCACCAACTAGAAAAGGCCAACCAGAGAGACGAATGGAGGTGGGGGAAATCTGCATCAATGAACCTCAAGGGTTCAGAATGCTGAAGAAGAAAAAGTTTTAGGCTGGGCTGACCTGTGAGCACATATCATATGAAATTTCCTCGTATGGGTTCCAGGGATGTATAGTGGGAACAAAGACAAGACCCACAGCCCTCCTAACAAGCTTGTCATAAAAGTAGACTAATTAGGGTTTTTTTTCTCTCGAAGTCAGAGTGCATCTGCCTGAGAGGGCGGTTCCAACAGTCTGCATATAAATAAGACACATATGTAAAATAGATGTTCACGCAAAGCTGAAGTTTTGGAACAAAACTAAAGTCCAGAAGCAGATGAACAAACAGAACTTTCTTCTGAAATTTACAGCTGGTGAACAAATTATAGAAGTAGAATAAGAAAAAATGCCTCAGTATAGATTCAGACTCAAAACCTTCTCGTTGATATCTTGTCACTGCACTGTGTTAGCTCCTAATGAAATACAGAAATGAAGATAAACATATCCACATGCAAAAGCCTTTAAGTTCACCAGGCTTATTAGCATAGCTTCAGAGTAAAACAGGAATCTGAGTTCAAGTATCTAGACAGCACTTTCACAGAAGAGGTAACACTTGACAGAGATACAGAAAAAATATGTCAAATAATCTTCTAAGCATTGACCAGTAATAAACTGCCGCCGAAAGTCCTGTTTGTTCGCCAACTTTTGGGCTTTGGCCTTTTTACAGAACTGAGGTTTTGTATATACATCTGTTGTACAGATCTGGCTTGTTTTTGTACAGACTGTCAGTTCCTCATCTTTCTAGCAGATGCACTTTGAAGGAAACATCAGTCAGCTGTACACACATGCCGTAATTGTAACTGACTCACAGAGCATGTTGAGAAAGGTAGAGACAGGCATGCTCCGTGCAGAGTGGCAAGCATCAATTCAGAGGTCCCGGGTAGTGCTGGTGTGTTGGGAAATAAACAGGCAGATAGACTGGCTGGCTTTGCACCACTTGGTGGTGAATTGATGTATGAAAAGCTAGAGATTATGAGGGCCTTTTTGGGAGAGAGTGAACTGTTTTGAGGCACAGATAGATCATTATGGTCTGAGGAGAATGGCACTCTGAGAAATTGCTGTGATGTCGATTCTTAATTCAACATTCAACTTGGAAACATCAATTCTGTCCATGTTGGTCAGGCCCCCAAATAGGAACCTGTTTCTGGGGTGACTATGGAGAGCTGTAGATTGGTCTTGATCAGTATGAGCCCTCATCTGAGGGCACCACGTGTGGCTCAGTACCTCAGCATCCCATCAAACGATGAACGCAGTGACTTGCTGTCATTGTTGCTGAAACATTTGGGTACCACTACCTCAACAAATGATACATATTTTACTCTGCTACCAGTGTCAAACATGGTAGGAAGGTTGTTGCGTATCCTTTACAGGACGTTGCAGAACCAACCCTAACAGCCCCTGGCTGTTGTGTGGTTTCTCTAGGCAAATTTACGTCCAGTAGTTTGCCATTGCTTTCTGGACGGTCGGCTTTCTTGATACCACTGTCGAAACCAACGCAAGGCGCATTGCCCGCAGCTGGGATCTATCCCGGCATCCCGGCATTACGAAGCGAAGCGTTCGCATCGACTTAGCCACAGAGCCGACTCAAACATGGACACTGACTAAATCATAGAGAAGAAACTCATATAAAATGAACTTTTGAGAAAATCTTTTATCTTCACTAGTTAGTTGCATATCCTTCATAAGTAAAGGACCCTTTTCCACGCATTTAGCTCCATTGGGCATATGGGGCTAGACCTATGTTGTATAGAGCAATCGGTGGGTGATGTGATCACCATCATGCCGTGGCCTTTACTTACCAGAACTGTACCTGGTACCCATTTAGAGCTAGGTTAATCTGGGAGCCAAAGTCATTTTTGAAAAAAGCTAGGCTCTGTCAGGACTTGGATCCACGACCTTCCGATCCGCAGCATCTAGCCGCTACACCAAGGCAGCTCCCATATCCTTTATAGGACATTGTAAACCAACCCCGGCATTTGTTGGCTGTTGTGGTATTACTCAGAAATGTGATGTTCAGTAGTTTGCCATTGCTGTTTGAATGATAAACATTTCCTACCATTGTTGAAATCAAAGCTAAGTGGCCTTTCCTAGATAGTTTGAAATGATCAACCATTTTGAAACCATTGAGTCACAGATGCTGACATGTTCACTGGAGGAGACCAATTTGACATTAGAAATATCATAGGTAAAACATTGAACTGAATTTATAGACAGTCCGATAAAGTGGTTTA